TCATGACCTGAGCTGAAGGCAGAGGCTTACCCATCTGAGCCACCCAGGTGCCCCAAGAGTATGAATTTCTTTACAAAACATAAATACACTTGAATTAATCAACTTTCTCAGATAACCAAGTGTCTGAGCCACAACACAGATAGGACAAAGTCACCCTAAAACAGGGCAAAAACCCAGGCTCACCAACCATCTGCAACATCCAGCTGAGGTCTCTGCTTAACACTCTACTCTGGACCCTATAAGAACACACTGTGCAAGGGATCAGTAAAGACTTTTTCAACCACCTGTATCCATGTAGCTAGCAGGCAGATCTATCCTTTCCTGTTTATTAGGTCACAAAAACTAATTCATATCCTATCTACAAAGCGTCACTGAGGTGGCACAATCATGACCCTAAGCCAATAATACCAACAAAAGAGCATCTGATCAGTTCATTTATAATAAGATTTCTCTGCTCTGAAATATTTTCCTGTAACTGACATATAAAGCATGACGCTAAAATAGAACAAAAAAACTCTATGCCTATTATAATATACTTAACTGGAAAAAACACCAAATTCTCTCATTTAAGTGTAGAACAAAAGGCAGCCCCTTTTAAATTTTCAGTAATGAAGCCACTGTAACTTTCAAAATAAAAATTATAGACTCTTCTTCGATTAACGCCATGGTAAAAGAAACAATCAAGGAAGCATTTTCAGAGAAGGCCTGAAAATCCTACTCTCTTTTCACCGTTTAGATAACCATGGTGATTTTTTCCAACCAAGAATCACTTGGTTGTTCTTAGTTACATAAGTTGTTTCTTTCTCTAATGACTGTTTAAAATAAAAAAATCACACTATCAACAATTTCTCAGACAAAAATTCACTTAAGTGTTTCCTGCTCTCTCCTGTATTTGCACTGCTTCAGCTAAGTCCCATGAAGGCATAATGGACTGAAGTGGAGAAGCAGACCAGCATTAACACACCCCCAAGAGCATTATCATTTGGTACATTACCAGATAAGAAAACAAGGGGAGCCAGGGAAAGGTTTCATTCAGCAGAGCCCCAGAAAAAACATTACTGTGTTAAAAACCTTGTCACACTGATCTTCCACACTTCCAATCCATACCCACAAAACCAAGGTAATAGGAAAAATTAAATAGTAATCTTTGCCCAGTTTCCCCAATTTGTCCTTTTTAAAGAATTACTTGGGATGCTTCTGAAAATGAAGTTTCTAAGCTCCCTTTCCTAGAGTCTTTGGCAATAGACCTGAGGTGAAGCCCAGGATTCCCTATTTTAAGAAATGACTCAGTTAAGTCTTATCGACAGGTAAATTCGAGAAACGCTGCTGGTGCTCACTTTCCTCAGTAAACCTTGTCCTGCTGTAAGCCGATCAAGAAGAGTCTGGAAGGTAGCTACTGAAAGGGGAGAAGGCTCGGAGTCATTTCTCACTGGAGCATGGGGCATCCCTACCATCCTCAAAAGCCAACTGGGGCCTGAGGACTCAGTTTTATCTGATCTCTCCAGTCAGGGGTCTCTCCCACAGAGCTGTCACAGGCCCAAAGTTATATATACTCTCAAAGGCTATGGCACCCTGGCTCCAACTGTACTTGGTGCTGACTGCAGATCAAAAGGTTGACTTGATAGAACAGGGGAACACACAATAGGCATCTGAGTGGGGTTACTCCTTGGCTTCCACTTTTGTCCTCGGTGCCTACAGCCTTAATATGTCCAAAACGTAATGAGTGATGATGCTTTCTCACAACCACTTGTCAGCAGCTAAGCAAAATCCTAAACACCTTGGTGGCCTTGCAATGAACTAAAATCTTGAGTTTGGACAATAGAGAGCCATCCTTCTCTGCTACTTGTGCTACTAAGAAGTTCACACTTCTTATATTAACAGTAATAAAATCTAACGGTGAGCATTTACCGTGGACTAAAATCTGTGCTAAGCCCTTTACATGCTTTAACTTGCACTTCATTCACTCATCTCATAATTTATTTTCAAGAGCCCAGCACAATGACAGCTGCTAAGATACCTCAGTGAATCAGATAGACATAAATCCCTGAATTCATTGACTAGGGAGGCAGACAATAAAAGTTATAGACAAGTAAACTATGCAGTATCCCCCAAGGGATAAGTACTTAGTTAAAGTTTTTTAAAGGGGAGAGGGGTCCAGGAAAGGGGCATGGAGGGAGAGTTGGTTGACAATTTTAACTATGGCACTCACCAGCCAAGGGGGACGAGAGCATAGCTTTGAAGGAGGGCCAGAGTGAGCCATGTGGACATGTGGCAGAGAACTCCAGCAGAAGAAGCACCAGTGCAAGGTTCCCTGGTCGGGAGAGTGCCAGAATGCCCAGGGAACATAAGGAAGCCTGTGTGGCTCGGCAGAATGACCAGGACAGAAACATGATGAGGCCAGAGAGGTAACCAAGGCCATGCTGGGAGGGCTGCAGGCCACTAAGAGAACTCTAGCTTTTCCTCTGAGAGAAACAGGGAGCTGGGGGAAGGTTTGAATAGAATGAAGTGTTCCAACTTCTATTTTTCAGGATTATGGTGACTGTAGGGTTAATAGATCGTGAGAGGGGTTAGGAATCTTTTGGCAGAAACCAGGTGAGAGATGATGGTGTCTTGACCAAGGAGGTGGTGGCAGAGGGAAGAGCAATGTTTGGACTCTGGATGAAGAGCCAATGGAGTTTCCTGAATAACAAATAACAAAAGAGTTCTGTAACTTTGTGAGCTGACAGATGGTAACTATACTTATTGTGGTGATAATTTTGCAACATGTATAAAAATGTGGATCATTGTGTTGTGTGCCTGGAATTAATATAATGTTACATCTTGTTTACATTTCAACTGAAAAATTGATTTGATTGGGGTGCCTGGGTGGCTCAGTCAGTTAAGCATTTGACTCTTGATCTCGGCTCAAGTCCTAATCTCAGGGTCATGGGTTCAGGTCCTATATGTTGGGCTCCACGCTGGGCATGGAGCCTACTTATCTCTCTCTCTCTCTCTCTCTCTCTCTCTCTCTCTCTCCCACACACACACACACCACACACAGATTTGATCATGGGGAAAAAAAACCCAAAAATTTGCAGTATAAGGTCTAAGATAAAGAAGGGAGTTTAGGATGATTCCAAGGTTTCTGGAAGATAAAACTGCCATTAACTGAGATGGAGAAGACAAATTACAGGTAGGACAAGTTTAGAAAATGCAGAAATCTTCTGGACACACTCAGTCTGAGATTATTCGACATCCAGATGGAGCTGTCGAGTAGGCCACTGTGTATATGAGTCTACAGGAGAGAAAGAGGCTAGAGATATCAGTTTGGCAATAACAGTTAAAGCCATGAGAAAGAATACAGTAACAGAGTGAGTGCAGACAGAGAAGGGAGGTCCTGAGACTGAGCTCAGAGGTACACCACCATTTACAGGTCAGGAATGGGGATCAAGCACAGGAGATGGAGGAACAGCCAGGGAGGGATGGAGAATACACAGAGTGTGGCTTTGTGGCAATGAAGATGAACATCCCAGAAGAGGGAGTGTTCAACAGGGCCACATGCTGCCTATAGTTCACAGCAGACAAGGACTGAGAGCTAGATTAGCGCACAACATCACTGATAACCTCCATCAGAAGCATCTCTGGTGGAATGGTGGGGGTAAGAGTCTGACTGCAGGGTTTAAGACCTGGGAAGAGAGGGATTTAAGAAGTTTGTGACTATTTCCAATTCACAGGCGAGGAGACAGTCTCAGGGGACAGGACGTACGAGGTCAGTGATATACACACCCGACATATACATAATCCTTAATGGATCCATCTGGGAAGCAAGAGAGGGAATGCAGTCAAGATTTAAAGAGAGACTTGACACCTTCCACTATTTTTTCCTTTAACAAGAGCACCTTCTGAGGGGAGAAAAGACCTCAAGTCATGAATGACGAATGTTTTAGAACCAAGAAGTAGGGGTAGAAGGCAAGCCCTTGTGCAGGGAAGGTAGCAGCAGCACTGTCTTGTGTACCATTATCCCTCAATGTGTGCACTCATCTGAGTATGAGGTATACCTGTGAATGGCAGGTAAGGGGCCAGTCCCACTGCCAAACTGAATACCTCTTACACAGGTGCTCCCTGGAGCCCACAGAACATCCTCTAGGTTATTTAAGGGACTAATTCTCATAAGTCTGCTTATTTCTTCCCCATACCCGCTAAAACCTCGCAGTCACACGCATCAAGGCTAACTGCCATAACCAAGAAAATGCACAGAGCAACACAGGAGTGACCAGTCTACATCAACTGAGAGGAGCCCCAGGCTCCTGAGGGGCATACATTTCTGTTAACCATGTCCACACCTACCCCAAATTAAGCGTGCACTTCACAGCCCCATGCCCCAATGCCACAAACCATTTTTCTAGTGTACTTCAGCACCATGCAGGAAGAGGCAATATGGAGTCAGAGAAGGAACTCTGACCTTGAAAGGGAGGAGACATGGGTTCTGGTGCTGGCTGGCTCTACCATAAAAGCTGTGTGAAAATGGCCAAACCCCTTTCATAAGTACGTAAAAGAATGGACCTCATCCGGACTTCGTGTTTCAGAGTTCCAGTGTCCTCTTTTGGACAATAATACAGAGCACAGAGGTTAAAAGAATGGGCTTTGGAGTCAGGCTGCCTGGGTCTACTGTTCATTAACTATTTTATTTAACTTTCTAAAATCTCATTTTTAGTATCTATAAGATGTGGATAACAGTACATACCCCATGAAGAACTATGAAAATAAAGTGCCTAGTAATGGCGTGCACTCTCCACTACCTATCATAACAGTATGAGAAAGCTGTCTTCCAAGATGCATTCAATAACTAACTCCCTATCTGCAAAGAAGACATATTATTAGTAAGCTTCTGATAAAGATGTATACCAGATCAGCTGAAGTCATGTCAAGAACAAAGAAAATCACAATTTAGTTAGTAAAAAAAGCCAGAAGATTCAAAAAATTAATAGCAGAAGTGAAATACTGTGACATATGAGGTATACCTTGAACAGGGATCTCCCCATAGTTTGGTCTCTTATCTGACAGCGCTGTCAGAGGTTTGGATGTAGATATTGGTCCACTTATGGAATGTCTCTGAAATCATAAGATACACAGTTCAATGTTAGGATAAATCTAGAGCTGGGACCCCCAAATAAAGTCAGTGTTGCAGAGAGTAATATTTAGTTATGAATCTGCATCATTCTTTCCATACTATTATAGTAAGACTCACACACACACACACACACCACACACACACACACACAGGGATATAATGTGATCAATATACTATTTTAAAAATTCATACAGAAATATCCCCCTGTGTCCATTACTCAGTTCTCCCCAATGGTAACGTTTATACCACACTATCACAACTAGGATACTAACACTGATACAGTCAAGACACAGAACAAGGATGGCCCTTTAATAATTACACCTTCCCCCCGTTTCCCAATTCCAGAGTACTGCCCCCTGGCAACCACTGGTATTCTGAGTGTGATCTCATTATTTTGTTTAAAGAGAATTCTTGGGGCACCTGGGTGGCTCAGTCAGTTGAGCATCTGCCTTTGGCTCGGGTCATGATCTCAGGGGTCCTGGGATCAAGCCCTGCCTTGGGCTCCCTGCTCAGTGGGGAGCCTGTTTCTCCCTCTCCCTCTGCCTGCCACTCTGCCTGCTTGTGCTCTCTGTCTGTGAGAAAGAAAAAAGAAAAGAACAGAAAAGAAAAGAATTTGAAAAAAAGAGAATTCTTAACTATTATGCACCAATTGGTGAAATATGGAAGTGTTCCTACTAAAAGGGACCCAGTACAACCTATCATCTAATTCAGTGCCACTACGATGGCTTTGCCACTGGCTTCCTCATCTCCGGTCGGATACATGCATCCTCTGCGTGCAGCCACAAGTATCTGCCACAAATACTTAAAATCTCTCAGTTCCTTGGCTTCATCTCCTGCCACCTCTGTGTAATGCTCAAATACCACTAAACTATTCACTTCCACACAGACCATGGTGTTTACCATCACTGTCCTTTCTGTCATGCTTATTTTCCCAGCTTTTCCCTAGCCCTTTTTTTATCTAGTGAACCTCGAACTACTCATTTCATATTCCCAGCAGAAAAGTGCAAGGTTCAGCCTCTTCGTATCCTTACCAACACTTAAAGACTGCCTTTAATTTTAGCCATCCTAAAAGGTACATAGTGGGATCTTACTGTGAATCTAATTTTTCCTTCCCCAACAACTAATGATGTTGAGCATCTTTTCATGTGGTTTACTGGCCATTTGTGAATCTTCTCCTAGGAAGGGACTTTTAGGGGTGCCGGGGTGGCTCAGTCAGTTAAGTGTCTGCCTTCAGCTGGGGTCATGATCCCAGGGTCCTGGGATTGAATCCCACATCACGAGGGGGTCCCCCTTCTCATTGGGGAGCCTGCTTCTCCCTCTCTCTCTCTCTCTCTCTCTCTCTGCCCCTCCCCCTGCTTGTGCTCTCTTATTTTCTCTCAGATAAATAAAAAAAAAAATCTTAAAAAAAAGAGGAAAAACTTTAAAAATCTTTTTGTTCACTATTTATTGGTTTGTCTTCAATCAAGAAGATGAAGACATCTTCTCGGAATACAGTGTTTTGACAGATAAGTGTACTGTGATTATATTCTTCTGAGTCTAGAACTTATCTTTCTTTTTCTTAATGTCTCTCAGAGAAGTTTCAAATTTTGATGCCCATTTATTTTCTTTCATGGCTCCTTTTTTTTGTGTCCTAAATAGAAATCTTGGCCTTCTTGAATGATTTTCTCTAATGTTTTCATCTAGAAGTTCTGTAATTTCAGCTTTCTCATGTAGGTCTACAATTAATTTTTATAAATGCCATTACATAACAGTTGTGGTTACCTCAACCATTATTTTTTTTTCCATATGGATTCTAGCTATTCCAGAATCCTTTGTTGGAAAGGCAACCTCTCTCCCATTGAATTACCCTGGCACCTCTACTGAAAATCCATTTACCTGTTTTCTGGATTTTCTATATAATCCACTGGTATGATGTCTACATTGAAACTTACATCAGTAAGTGCAGCTGCTGGTACTCTGGCTATTTGTGGGATGGGGAGCTTATCAGCTTAATGAAGATTTCATATAAACAAACAAATAAATAAATAAACTTAGTCATTACCCTACTGCCTTGATTACTCTAAGTGCCTAAATCAGGTAGTATACATCCTCCAAAGTTGTTTCCTTTTGTATCCCCCGATGCTTCGGATATTCACGATCCTTTGCATTTCTACACAAATTTAAAATTGTATTATCAATTTCTACAAAATAGCATGCGAGACTGTCACTGGGATTGTGTTGAATCTACAGATCAATGTGAGGGAGAGCTGTAAGATAATAATATTGAGTCTTCCAGTCCATGAATATATCTCTTCATTTATTACTTCTTTAATTTCTCTCAGCAATATTTTATACTTTCCGTTATACAGATATTGCACAACATTTTATTAAATATACTGCTAATTATTTCGATTTTCAATTGTTCACTGGAGTGACTAGATCTAAGAGAGAGCAAGAAGAATCCTCAAGACAGAAGCTAATCTTTTTATAACCCTACCTGGTGACATTCCACCCCTTTTCCCATACTCTATTCATCAGAAGTGAATCACAAAGTCCAGCCAACACTCAAGAGGAGTGGATTCCATAAGAGTGTGACTTCTAGGAAGTGAAAGTCACTGAGAAGCATTTCAGAGGCTGAGTACCCCAGTTACTTATGGATCTCCTTGGCCCTTTGGAGGTTAATATTTAAGGTCTTTTAGGGCAGGTCTAGCATCTATTTACCTGTGAGCTGCAATGCAGTTCTACTTTATAGTGTGGCCCTAAAGGGTCTCAAAGGAATACTCCAAGTATTCCAAGATTTCTCCATGGTGAACAGCAGGAACTCAAATGATTCCCTGCCCTGTACCAACTATGGGAGGAAGTGTTTACCTGACAGCTCCCTGGTAACTCTTCTTTCCTGAGAAACTGTTCTGACTTAGCCTTGTGGGGGTTCACCCTGTGCCCGTGCAGACTGGCATTCAAGCAAAGACTCACAGGATGCCTCTGCAGAGGCCCTTCCTGTGTGTAGTTCCCTCTTCCCAGGTCCTCTGCCCTGAAGGTTCTAGCACTCTCATTCTTCCTGAACAATGATCTGTGTCTCTTCAGACCCATCTAGTTCCCCCTTCCTGGCCCCATCTAGCATCCCCTACTGCACCACCATGTGGAACCTCCCAACAGGAAATGCAAGGGCCCAGCAGGACTTTCCCCATTTTTTAACTTTTACTCAAAAACCACTGTCTCCTACTGCCTGTTGTACATGTCTGAATATAATTGCTTCCTATAATTTGGCCAGCTTTTGAGCTGCCTGAGGTGGCAGGGTAATCCAGCCTGTCACTCCCTCACCGCCAGCAGAATTCCCACTCAGGGAGTTTTAAAAAACTAACAATCCCAATCTTAGGCCCTATTCCCTAGAGATTCTCGTTCACTAGGATGAAGCCTGGGAATCCATGTGTTTAAAACCTCTCCCACATGGTTTTTATGCACAATTAGGTTTGAGAAGCATTGTGCTAACTAACCAAGTACTAAAAAGCTACTGAATGTGACTTATAATTGTTAACTTTTTTCAATTTAGATGAGATTTTTCACCTACTATCTTTACAAAGATATACAAAGTCATGCTTTGAGAATATTAAACGTAACCATCAAATACCACTTAAAGAAATTTCACCTTATTTGAAGTTTATATTTTACATCTTGGGGTCTACAGAAAAAGTTTGATTAATAGTGAGCCTATAAAAAGCATTAAATCTATAGTGGGATTGGAATTCCCTTGCCTTCCTTGTAAATTAAGAGCATTAAACACCTTCTGTACACATGCAAATGCAGAACCATTAATTTGTAAATTACAAATGCAGAAGGACTGTACTTTTACCCTAAACTGCACACAGGAAAAAGTTAAAAAGTAAAAAAAAGAAAAAGGTTAAACAAAACACAAAAAACCCCCAACAGATTCACTTGTAAAATACATGGCCACTAGTTAACAAAGCACAAAAATCTCCACTCAAAAATAAAATGCCCCCAAACCCTATTTTAGTTTTAGGGAAGAGGTGTGGCCAAGACTACCCTGTATCAAAGAGTACTAGGTTTAAGGCCATTTCTTCTTTGGCTATTCTCACTTACATGGAAAAACTCTACCACAGCCACTGTTTCCAAAAGCACCTGACCAAGAAGGGCACAGTGAGAGGGCCTCGTGAGCACAACAGAGCAATAGCCTTCTGTCTTGTTCTGGTCTACATTTCCACAGTGACCAGAAGAGCGACCTCAAAGATTTGTTGAAATGGACCAGCAATGCCCTTGTGCTAGACTACTAAAAAAATGGCCCATACTGAACCTTCTGCAGAATCTTTCCACTCTGAATCTGGACTAGCGTTATGATGTGGTTGGAGCTTGAGACACCACACCACGAAGGAACCACATGGAGAGAGTGGCCCAGCCATCCCTGCTGAGCCCAGCCCCCAGTCCACCCTATGGCTAAGTGCAGCTGCAAGAGTGAGCCCACACAAAGTCAGCAAAGAACTGCCTAGTCAACACAGAAATGTGAAAATTTGTTCTAAACCACTAAGCTTTATAGTGATATGTTAGGTAGTGGAGGCTGACACATGCCAACTACATACTCTGATGGTGCCTGAAGCCACACTGCCCAGGTTCAAATCCCATTTTACCACTTCTTCATTATATGACCCTCAGCAAGTTGCTTAATCTTTCTCGGCCTCAGTTGCCACATGTGAAAACTAGTGGTAAGAATAGTACCTGATACCAATAGAGCTGTTGTGAGGATTAAATGAATTCACATCATAAAGCATTTGGAAGAGTGTAGAACACATAGCAAGTGCTCAAAACTTGTTAGCTATCATTATTACTAGGGACTTTCAAAAGACTAATAACACAATGGACATTTTCATAATTTATCTCAATTAAGGATATTTACATGATTTTACAACCCTAACTACATTCCTCACAAGGTGTGCCCCCCTAACGTAAGTGCAAAGGACTTTTCGGAGAACAGACTTCCAGATGCTGAGGACCCCACAGCCTCTACAGTAACAGACACTTACCTGCATAGGTGAGACAGCTGCAGCAGGAGGGGTTTTCATTGGACTTGGACTTAAAGGCGTGCGAGGAATCGCGGCCGCAGTAGGGTTTGGTACTACAGAAACAAACAAACATTGAATGTATCATGGTAGAGTGGAAACTTTCATAATTGGTCTCCCGTAAAGGATCCCCTAAACCATTCAATGCTCAGGCTCCCCTGGAAACTGTTCTGACTGATGCTTAGCATCTATGGCACACTCACAGCTGTGCCTGGCAGGTGATGCTTCTCCTGCCACTAGGTGGACTCTCTGTTCCTTAGAGTAGTTGTGTTGATTCCCAACCTGATTATGCCAGTCATTTCATTTTTGCCATTTCATTAATTTAGGTAGTTAAAGAGCTCCACGAGCCAATGAAATATAAGTTCAAAAAACCCAAGAGGAGTATTTCTGTAACTGCATCAGGTGAGAAGCCTAGCCCACGGTCGGTGTGCATTCCACGAAGGAACACTGGAAAATAAAAACAAACAAAAAATGAAGGAACACTGGGCTCCCAATCATCTTTTCTTATCTCTTCCTATGGGGTTCATCACTTTACTTCGCAAGTACTTTCTGGTTTGCATTTAATGCATAGATGTACAATTATTCGCTCGCTCCTCCGTATCCCTCTTTAAACTATGCAAAAGTAAGATCCATAATTTATTCACTTCCAGATACTTGGGCTTGGCACAGATTTTGGTAGAGGGTACATAAAAAATGGTTATTTGTTTGAAGCTAAATTAAAATCAAAATGGGACACAAAGACAAAATCAGGCATGTCACACAGTGGGGAAAAGATGAAGAAGTAGATCATGGTGGACCTTTTTATGCAACCAAGTACTTCTATTTAATTTGCTATTTTTAGATGCATTCTTTTATTGAAATAATATTCACATAATAGGGGCGCCTAGTCGGTTAAGGGTCTGCCTTCAGCTCAGGTCATGATCCCAGCCAGGGTCCTGGGATTGAGCACCGCATTGGGCTCCCTGCTCAATGGGCAGTCTGCTTCTTTCTCGCCACTGTTAGTGGTGTTTTATATGTTCTCTCTCTCTCAAAAAGATAAAATCTTAAAAAAAAAAAAAAAACTCACATAGTAGAAAGTAAATAATTTTAAAATGTACATAGTTCAATGGCATCTAGTACATTCACAATATTGTACACCCATCATCACTTCTACCTAGTTCCAAAATATTCCAGTATCTGTTAGGCAATCATTCTCCATTTATCTCTTCCTCAGTCCCTGGCAACAGCCAAACTGCTTTCTGTCTCTATGCATAGACTTACCTATTTTCCATACTTCATATAAATGGGATCTTATAACACACAGCCTTTTGTGTCTGGCTGCTTTTACTTAGTATGTCTTACACATGGTAGTATACATCAGTACTTCTTTCATTCCTTCCTATGTCTGAATAATATTCCATCAGATGGATATACCATATTCTGTTTAACCATTCGTTGGTTGATGGACATCTGGGCTGTTTCCACATTTTGGTTATTGTGAATGATGCTATCATGAACACTCACGTACAACTATTTGAAGACTTCTGTTAACTTCTTTTGTGTATATAATTTAGCAGTGGGACTGCTGAGTCATTTAGATATATCTTGTAAAATACTGTTTTTTAAAAAAGATCAGAAGAGAGCAGATTTATCTTTTTGCATTAAAGCTCATTTCATTAATATTCTGAATAACTACATGACTTTAAATTTAGTAAAGCACTCCATTATCATTTCATTTTAGAAGCACAGATTTTTGTGAGCCTTTCTTTCATTTTATCCCATCATATTACCCAGAGGTAGCCATTAACAATAGTTCCAAGTGCATCATCTTTCTTGTACTTTTAATGCAAAAATCTATGTACTTAAAAAACAAAATGAGATCACACTATATAATACTGGTCTACAACTTATTACAAAGGACTGCAGTACATTATACATCAGTACTTCGAAATCTACCTCAACCTTATTAAAAAATGCACGGTATTCTATTGTACTAATGGGTCATAACTGACTTATTAATGTTTTTAATGGGCACTTGAGCAATATCTAGGTTTTCAAACAATCCTATACTGAAAACTTTCTGTGTATATCTGTATCTATATCTATATATCTTTATAAACTTGTGCCTGTATGATGTATAAGAACTTCAGGATCTATGAATATGGCATGTTAAATTGGAAGTTACTGTCTTCCAAAATATCTGTATCAATAGTGTAAGTATGTAAGTGACTTTTGATCTGATTTTAAGCCAAAGAAAACTAATTTGTGTGTAGTCACAGAATACAGATTATAGAAACTCTACTATTATTTAAGTGAATTAGAATAAAGCCTGTCATGAAGTTTAAAGAATTTTTAAAAGAATAATTTTTAGGACACATTACATTCAGTTATTTTTCTGAAAAAAAAAATTTTTTTTAAGGATTTATTTATTTGAGAGAGAGAGTTAAGCTAATTCTGCACTGAGTGTGGAGTCCAACCCGAGGCTTAATCTCATGATCCTGAGATCATGACCTGAGCGAAAACCAAGAGTTGGATACTTAATTAACTACCTCAGCCACGTGCCCCTCCACTTTTAAAAGATTTTTTACAAAGATTTATTAAAAAAATAAAAGAGGGCAGCCCGGGTGGCTCAGTGGTTTAGCGCCACCTTCGGCCCAGGGTGTGATCCTGGAGACCGGGGATCGAGTCCCACATCCGGCTCCCTGAATGGAGCCTGCTTCTCCCTCTGCCTGTGTCTCTGCCTCTCTCTCTCTCTCTCTGTCTCTCATGAATAAATAAATAAATTTAAAAAAATAAAAAAAATAAAAAAAATAAAAAGATATTTATCTGAAAGAGAAAGAAAGCAATCTCCCGCTGAGTGCAGAGTCCGATGCAGGGCTCAATCCCATGACCCATAAGATCATGACCTGAGCCAAAAACAAGAGTCAAATATTTAACCGACTGAGCCACCCAGGTAGCCCAAGATTTTATTTTTTTTAAGTATTCTCTACATCTAACGTGGAGCTCAGACTCACAACCTCAGGATCGAGAGTCATGTGCTCTAACAACTGAGCCAGATGGATGCTTCCATTTAGTTTTTTTTAAAAACGACATCCCTGACAGAACATGAGAGACTCCTAACTCTGGGAAACGAACTAGGGGTGGTGGAAGGGGATGTGGGTGGGGGGTGGGGGTGACTGGGTGACAGGCACCGAGGGGGGGCACTTGATGGGATGAGCACTGGATGTTATTCTATATGTTGGCAAATTGAACACCAATAAAGAATAAATTTATTAAAAAAAGACAAACAACAACAACAAAAAAAATGACAACCCTTTCCCTTTCCCAAAGCTGAGGGGGTTAAAGAGATAAAAAGGAGTCAGTCACTTGAAGGTGGGAAGAGTGAGCTTCCAGGTAGAGAAGATATGAAGCCTGTGCGATATGAACCCTGGTCTGTTTTGGGACCTAAAGTCTAGTGTGGTGGGAGTAGAAGAAGGGCAGGGGAAGAGTGGCTCAACTGTGGTAAGAGGAAGGCAGGGTCAGATTATGCAGGCATCTGGGGATCTGAATTTCATTGTAACTATAATAAAGCAATTAAAGGAGTTTAAGCAAAAGATCTTTCTCTCATGAAATGAAATGGAGAGACTAATTAGGAGGTCACTGAAATTAGAAGCTGATGGTGGCTTATACTAGCAGTTGATTGTGTGCTAGAGATAGAAGCAGACAGAGCAAAGATGTGCATGCTGGAGGCTAGATCCACATGACCTGTTAATGGATTAGATATGGAGGTGAGAAAAGAAGAAGGATTTAAGGGAGACGGAAGATTCCTGAATCTCTGATTTAAGTAACTGGGCAGGAACACAGGGGAAGCCTGAAGCTCAGGGACAGGAGTGCAGTTTTGGACATAAGACATGTGGGAGAGGGATCCCTGGGTGGTGTAGCGGTTTGGCGCCTGCCTTTGGCCCAGGGCGCGATCCTGGAGACCCAGGATCGAATCCCACATCGGGCTCCTGGTGCATGGAGCCTGCTTCTCCCTCTGCCTGTGTCTCTGCCTCTCCCTCTCTCTCTGTGACTATCATAAAAAAAAAAAAAAAAAAAAAAAAAAAGACAGTTCTCCGACTGCCACTTTAAAAAAAAAAAAAGACATCTGGGAGATACCTGAGTGTCAATATCAAGGAGGCCTTTGGAATTATACACCTACAGGAGTTCAGAGGAAGGGAAAGGACTGAATTCATACATTTGGAGTTTTCAGGCATTTCTTTTAGAAGACACTCAAAGCCCCAGAACTACATGAAGACATTTCTGTGAGAGGCAAGGCACCAAGTCTGAGAGCAAGATCCTCTGAAGCTGAATAGATCCCAAGTCTCCTAAAATTCACCTGATAGTAAGACTAAGTCATTAATGCTACATGAAATTTGATGAGGCTCAGAGAGTAAGATGGTAAAGAATACCAAACCAGATCAGATAACAGATGGTAAGTGAATGACAACTGCCTGCCTTTAGCATAAGATATAAGAAATTACCTTGTGATGCACTGTCAAATGACTTGATGAGGGTTTTCACCGTAGGGGTTGGCTCAGAGGAAGTTGAGGATCTTCTACTCAGTCCCATCCCTTGCCTTAAGGCTGCCAAATCTCTTTCAACAGCATTCATGTAGTTGTATACCCGGCCTCGCTCCTCCTCTTGCCTGAAAACGATAGTGAAGTCAGGCATTTTTACACATATACTAGCAAATACACATTTTCACCTCCCTACTGAAAAGCATTAAAAAGTATCACTTTTTAAAAAAACAATATCAGTAGAAGCTGAGTAAATTACCTAGTCTAATATTCTCATTTGTTTCATAAGTTCCAGGAAATGATATTAAAATTTTTATATCAGGTTGTACTAAATAGGCTTAAAAGTAACCATCAGAATCCATTTTCATCTAAGTGTAAGGTGAGGACATCGGTAATCAATTAGCAGTAAAATGGAAAGTGGACTATCCAAAAAGATCCTGACAGAACTGTGGATCTTGAGGTTCTGTCCTGCTCTAAGGAGTCTGGAAATTCACCAGTATATGGATTATTTATACTGGCCCTAATATGCCATGCATAGATATGGAAATACAAAAGAAATGAAATCAAAGCTCATATTCTTTAAAAAAAAAAACTCTGCTGTAGTCTCCAAATAGAATTTCTACAAAGGAAAAAAAAAATCTGGGCCCATATTAGTAACATGAGTCTCCGAGATGCTCAGTGTGATGGATCATGAGTCATCTAAAAAAATCAATTACATTTTATTTCTGGCCAACTCTAATTCACTGAGCTGACTAACACATCAGTTTTTATCTGGAACGAGATTTCAGTTGCAGAGTTTGTACATGTCATATAACCATCAAGTAAGTTTATAGGGGGACAAAATTAAGCCAGTCCTTGGGAAGATGGTAGCTATTTGACTCTTCTGACAGTTTTTTTTTTCCTCCAGATCTACCATAAGGTCTCATGCTTAGAAGTTTTAACAAAGACTCTTTAACAGTGATTATCAGACCTTTTTGGCCTTGGAGCCCTTTTCCACTCTTTTTTTTTTTTTTTTTTTTAAGATTTTATTTATTTGAAAAAGAGTGACCAAGAGACAGAGCATGAACAGGGGCAGAGGGAGAGGGATAAGTGAACTCCCCGCTGAGCAGGGAGACGGACCAGGGGCTTGATCCTAGGACCCCAGGACTATGACCTGAGCCAAAAGCACCTACTTAATCAACTAAGCCACCTCCCAGCCTTTCCACTCTTAAAAATTACTCAAGATCCCAAAAAGCTTTTCTTTATGTAGCCTATGTCTACTGACATTTATCATAATGGAAATTTAAACTAAGACATATTTAAAATACTTAATTCATCTAAAAACAAAAATAAACCCAGGACTTATTAGTATAAAATATTTTTATGAAAAATAGTGATTTTCCCAAACCAAAAAAAAAAAAAAAGGAAGAAGAGGAAGTAGTAGTAGAAGAACAGCAGCGTTTTTACACTTTTGCATATCTCTTTAATGTCTGGCTTAACAGAATACTGTTAGATTCTCATTTCTTCTTCTGTATTCAATCTATTCTGAGGTTAAAAAAAAAAAACAAGGCTAACAGATACACAGCAGTTGAAAAAGAAAAGACTGTTTTAATGATCTTAAATAATTGTGGCTTTTTAGACAACCGAGGCCATTTTCCTTGATACTATACCAAAATGTAGTAAGTGGTAATTACTTAAAAGTTAGTTGCAATGTGAAATTTGAAACCATATAAATAAACTTTTCCTACTCTGTCCATTAAAAATCCTCTAGTCTATCTTATACTTGAAATGGATCTTTTACCGACACGTGACTGTGTAACATTACGCATTAGTCATGCTGAAAATATTGGTTTACTGAGTTACACGAATTTTCCAAATGTTGACATCTGTCATTATATGATTTATTATTTAAAAGTCACATTTGTTAATATCACCAATGATCTCATCAGGAAACTCTTTAAATATACGAAGCTGCCAAGCTTGTGATGGCAGATACAAGTTTTCTAAAATCTTAACATTGACTTGAAAGTCCACATTTTAGCACTGGCAACAAATACAGTCAGTTGTTTTCCTTTCCTTTCCCTAAGAGTGACAGTCTCTCTTAATTCATTTTTAAGGAATATCCACCAAATAGCAAAGTCTATATATCTATCGTTTGTTAGAAAACAGCTTAAACTAAAATAACCACAGAGCACTTTCCTTGAGACAACCTCATGCCTGGATATACAATAATACAGCGGAAGTGCTTTATGTATACTTCTCATTCATCACAAGGAATGCTAAACAGAGGGACGCCTGTGACTCAGTGGTTGAGCATCTGCCTTCTGCTCAGGGTATGATCCCAGAGTCCCAGGATCAAGTCCCACAACGGGCTCCCTGCATTGGAGCCTGCTTCTCCTTCCTCTGCCTATGTCTCTGCCTATGTCTCTGCCTCTGTCTCTCATGAATAAATAAAATCTTTTAAAACATTTTAGAAAAAGGAATGTTAAACGGAGTATATATACTCAAGGACCAAGATTTAGTAAAATTAATTTACTGCTTCATCAAGGATATCTTTAGGACCTGATGGAATGATTCTTCAAGAGAAGAATCTCACTCAGGTTACCTTTAGAATGAAACATTTCCAGGGGTGCCTGGGTGGCACAGTCGGTTAAGCATCCAACTCTCGGTTTTGGCTCAGGTTGTGATCTCAGGGTCCTGAGATCGAGCTCCCAAATGGGCTCCTGCGCTTAGCACAGAGTCTATTTGAGATTCTTCCTTCCCCTCCTTCTGCCCCTCCCCGCCGAGCACTCTCTCTCCCAAATAATCATTTTTTAAAAAGAATGAAATATTTCTGATACACCATTCCTTTAACAGTATACGGAAAAAAAGGTAATGTAACATATGAGTCTTTTACCAAGTGGAGAAACAATAATCTTCCACTGCATTCCACGTTCTACTTAAGGAAGCCAAAGAAAAATGTTTGTTTATTTTTTAAAGATTTTATTTATTTATTCATGAGAGACAGAGAGAGAAAGAGAAAGAGAGAGAGAGAGAGAGAGAGAGAGGCAGAGACACAGGCAGAGGGAGAAGCAGGCTCCACGCAGGGAGCCCAGTGTGGGACTTGATCCCAGGACTCCAGAATCACACCCTGAGCCAAAGGCAGACACTTAATCGCTGAGCCACCCAGGCGTCCCTGAAAAATGGTTTAGTAATACTTTTCTCTGGGCCATACACTAGAGGTAGGCAACAATAAAACACGATAACTTTCCAACAATATCCTGTTTTAAGCGGGCTCCACACCCAGCATGGAGGCTTGAACTCACGACCCTGAGATCAAGAGTCAGACACCCAACTGACTGAGCCACCCAGGCACTCCAAAAATATTTTTCTAAAATTTTTCCTATGTCTACCTAAGAATTAGTTAAAGTGGTGAATAATCCAATACTTTTTTTATAAAGTTAACTCTATGCCCAACTTGGGGCCCCAACTCATGACCCCAAGATTAAGTCATATGCTCTACTGACTCAGCCAGTCACGTGCCCGTGAATAACTAAATTCTCAATAATAACTTCAACACAAAAACTACTCCCCACTACTCATTAGATGGAATCTCACTGAGGAACTCATGACCTCACAAATGTCATCTCACCTAATATTTTATATTGGTTCCCAATGATTTCTGTTAGATGGGAAAAAGTATTACTATGGAGATTCAGAGTGTTGTAAGTATAAAACAAGTGAAAACTCCTCAAAGTGAGTAATGGAGAAAAACTCACTTCACATTCTTTACTTGGGTCTCTAATAATATTAGTTATTAAAGTATACTTATCATTGCCCTGGTCACTGTGCAGAGAGATCTCCTTTAAGCCTTATAGTAACACTATAAAGCAGGTAGTACAGTCTCCATGTTAACGATAAGCAAAATGAGGCTTTGGGAAGTTAAGGGTCCTAACCAAGATCACACAGCTAATAAGAGGCAGAACTAGATAGGAGTCGAGCCTGTCTGCCTCCACAGTACACATTCTTAATCAGAGGCTATCAGTCTAAAGAAAAGTAACAGCTGGAGTGTGGTGATACAGGAAAGGAGGGAACTAGAAGGTACCTTGTGCCAGGGACCATTCGGCCATTTCCCCCTCCCCCGAACTGTTAATTATGGATACTGACAACAACTCTGAAAGATCCATATAGACTGCTATTTTACAGGTGTCATAAAACGAGGCCAGAAAAGTTGAATAACTTCCACTAGGATCCACACTCACACTAGAGTCAAATTTCACATTCTTTCCATAATACCACATCATAAAATTGGGATTTTAAGTGTTCTCTATTAAAATATAAGTACACAACTGGTTTTTCAAAACATACTTGCGTGACTTTATTTCCTCCAATTCTTTTGTGAGTTTTTCATTTTTTTCTTGAGCCTCATGTAACCGGCGCTTCAGATCACCAATCTCCTCTTGGGCTTCAGATTTAATGTCATTTGCAATGACTACAGCAGTCTGGAGATCAGCTTGAAACTGCCGCCATTCTGCAGATTCTTCCTACATTAAAAAACTAAATTTTTATTTCCAAAAGAGAGCAATACTTACTTAAAAATAATAAAATTTGTTTATGATTGAACTGTAATGCACTGTCCCAAATAATGATTAATTTCTTTTAAATCCCAGAGAATTGCTATTATTATTTCTAACAGGTAACAGGTAACACAATTATTAGTAGTGAACTTGTTCTTAATGAGGAAGAGACTTTCTGTTGATCTGCCTGCTGAGGCATCAAGCACCAGAGTGCTCAATCAATATTAATGACAATAATGTCAAGCCTCTCTTCCTTATGCAAGTTTGTAAGTCTAATGAAAATAAACACATCATTCAAAATTTATAGCACTTTACCTCTGAAAAGCTGAAGAAAGTAGATAATGGTGTGTGAACCATACTGTGAGATTTTATACTGAAAAACTATAAATATCTTGACATCAAAAACTACCAGGAAAAAAAAAATCAAAAGTAAAGGAAAAGGAAGAGGAAGCCAGAAGAAAAACACTCAACTCAAACTAGGCAGACAAAATCATACAAAGAGAGGAGCTAAGAACTGTTCAGTCTGCCGCTTCCCACAGCCATGAAGGATGAGGGTGTGGCTAGGTGGGCAAGCCTCCCTAGGGCATCACCTCCACCAGAGCCACAGCTAGTCCTAGGCCCGGCATCTGTCACCTCAAAGCAATTTTCAGACACCATTCATTCAGCCTGAGTAACCGAGGCATGACCCAAACTTGATGAGCTTTTCCCACCTATGCATCAGAGTGGCATTGCTGTCAGCAAGCTGATCAAATTCATAGAAGACAAAAAACCCAGATGAAAACAGTTTGGTTTGAGACACTTTCTAATCAAGAGCAAATAATTTTTCTTTCCAAAATAAAACATTTGCTTCCTAAGTCCATCCTTTTAAAATTACCACTCATAAATTACTCGTAGATTCTTCTATTTAGAATCCAGCACTAATCCCAATTTGAAATGATGGCATTTGCTTTCTGTCCAAAGCCCAGTGGGATCAGTGTTTTTAACTGTATCTGAAGCTTAAGATGAATCCTAACATGGTCAAGGACTACACTGTATTCCAACTTTCAGAAACCTAGGTATTCTAATGAGATAATACATGAGGATTTATCCTACCCGAAGTCTCCTGTGGAGTGTCTTGATTTCCCTTTCCATGTCATGTTTTTGGTCCTGGAGTTTTTTAACTGTATCTGAAAACAGCACAGAAGTTTAAATATTTATTCTTAAAGCTGTGTTCCAAGGATTAATATAAAGGAAGGAGGTATTTAAGTATGACATTCAAAAAAAAGGTCATCCTGCCCAAAGACCTTTTAATACAAAACTTAAAAAGAAAAAAGGATGTTCAATCCAAGTATTAACCAACATTACTTTCTAAGGAAAATATCAAGTTTTTTTTTTTTTGAAAAATATCAAGTTTAAATCACAATTTCTGGATTGCTTCCTTCCTCAGTGTCTTAATTATGAAACAAAAAGTTAAGTAAAATCAATTGTTAAGAACACACACATTTTTGGCTCATAACCAATCAAAATAACACTGATTTCTATTAAAATGTGAACTTCTAATCAAAAGGGTTATTAAACTAAACTCATTATGAAAGCATAACTTTCTTTACACACTGGAATAAATTCCAGAAAAGTAGTGAATTAGCAAAATTTTTATAAGCTTAATTAGTTATCCTGGGGAGCTATTTACATTAATTCTATGGAAAGTCTTTTTCTAAAGTAAATGATATATTCATAAAGTAAATCAACATTTCTCAAATTATTTCTTGCATAATATGAATTTTCCTCAAACAATTCCACTGTCACTGTAAACATTTAATGAGTACCACTAATATGCAAAGTACCAGTCTAGACAGAGTGGGAATGCAAACACGAAGGCACAGTCAGGGGCAGCCCAGGTGGCTCAGCAGTTTAGCGCCACCTGTGGCCCAGGGCCTAATCCTGGAGACCCGGGATAGAGTCCGGCGTTAAGCTCCCTGCATGGAGCCTGCTTCTCCCTCTGCCTGTGTCTCTGCCTCTCTCTCTCTGTGTCTCTCATGAATAAATAAATATCTTTTTTTAAAAAAGGCACAGTCAGGCCCAGTGACCCTGGAACCAGAAATACATGGGAAGTCACATTCTATTTGGAGGTTCTGTTCAAAAGTCCATGCTTAAAAGAAAATGCTTTAGGAGGTGCCCACTGGTAACTGCCACCCAGTAAATTTATCACAGTTGGTTACTTTGACAGCTTAGGGACTGAGCATTTTCTTTTGGTCTAAGCACCAGAAAAGGCACTGACATCTGGTGACAAATATTCTGACTTTACCTGCCACCTTCTACTCCAGCAGAGCCCTATCCTTTCTGTGTTCCAACTCTGTGACTGTTGCTGCCAGCACTTATATTTCTTTACACATCTGTCTTTACCACTAGACTGAAAACACTTCAAAGTCAGGAGCTATGTGGTGACTTCACAGCCCTAACACCTGGCACATGGTAGGGATACAAAACGGAATAAAGTATAACTACGTAAGCTAATGGAGGGAGCAAGAAAAAGCAATACAAAAATCAGAACCTAGGGGGATCCCTTGGTGGCTCAGTGGTTTAGTGCTTGCCTTTGGCCCAGGATCGAGTCCCACATCAGGTTCCCTGCATGAAGCCTGCTTCTCCCTCTGCCTGTGTCTCTGCCTTTCTCTCTCTCTGTGTCTCTCATGAATAAATAAATAAAAATCTTTTAAAAAATAAAATAAAAATAATAAAAAAATAAAATAAAATCAGAACCTAGGAGGGTTTTTTTTTGTTTTTTGTTTTTGTTGTTTTGTTGTTGTTGTTTTTAGAACCTAGGGTTTTAAAAAAAATATTCCATTGACAGAACTGTACTCTTTATTATCAGGGACATCACCACTACAGATACTATTGTGTCTGAGTAAATATTCCCTCCTATTCCTTATACTTACTTAGTAGCAGGAACCTAGGCATAGTGAACACTTGCATGAGGTTATATGCAATCAAAACATTGTCCTTAAGGAGCGCCTAGCTGGATTAGCTGGAGGAGCGTGCAACTCTTGATCTCAGGTTGTAGGTTCAAACCCCATGTTGGGTTTAAGATCACTTAAAAATAAAATCTTAAAAAAAAAAATCTTCCTAGGGTGCCTGGGTGCCTCAATCAGTTGAATGACTGACTCTTGATTTAAACTCAGATCATGATCTCAGGGTCATGGGCTGGAGCCCCCATCAGCTCAAAGCTCAGCAGGGAGTCTGCTTCTCTCTCTCTCCCTCTGCACACCCCCTGCACTCATGTACTCTCTCGCTCTCTCTCAAACGAATAAAGCTTAAAAAAATCTTCCTTAAGCTAAAAATATTATTAGCTTTTAATCAACATTCTTAAGTAGAAGTGTGTTGTCTTTTCTTAGACTGTTCATCTTCCCCTTCTCAGTTTCATCCAAAACCTGTTCTGCTGTACCTCTGTGACATGATACCTTTAACTCAATATTGATATATTCATGTTCAGATATTTTAATAGTTTTTATAATTTCTTTTTTTTTTTTTTAGAAAGAGCACGTGAGCCAGGGGGTGGGGCACAGAGGAAGAGGAGGAGAGAGAATCTTAAGCAGGCTCCATGCCCAGCCTAGAGTCTGACACAGGGCTTGATCTCATGACCCTGAGATCATGACCTGAGCTGAAACCAAGAATCGGATGCTTAACCAACCAAGCCACTGAGATGCCCTCAGATATTATATACATGTAATTATATGTGTAATAATTATTACAAATATATAATGATGATACATTTTCTAAAGTTGGATAAAAAATAAATGAGATAAAACATGGGAGAAAAACTGGCCAATTTTGGAAGCCAGTAGTTAACTCCCTCTCATTCATCATCACAAAACTGTTCAACAAAGTTGGGGCCTTTGAAATAAAAAGGTTCAAAATTTACATTAACTCAATAAATACCTTATAGGTACCTACTTTGTAGCCGGCTTTTTTCTAGATGTTTAACATATAAGGGAAAGGGAAAAAGGATACAATCCTTACCCTCTTATGGACAGAAAAGAGGATGTTTTCATACAAAAAGGAATAAACTTTAAAAGTCCATCTCTGTATAAGCTGCTTCTGACCTCATTTAATCTAGAAACTAAGGGTCAAAAGGGCCATTCAATTTGGTTGAGGGCAAAGTGGACACCAGTGAGTGAGTCCAATACCCTGACCCCTATTTCTGGAGCCAAGTATGACTCAAACCAGCATGGATCCTTGGCTCTCATATGACCTACATATAGATGAATTCAAAGTCTTGGTGATATTATCAGACTCAGATTAGAATGACAGTTTCTAGTGTTGGGAACATAGGAGTTACACCTTTCATTTACACTATATTTAAATGCAATCAATTTTTCTAATTAAAATAGGCAAGCAAAAAAAAAGTGAATTTCTCCTCCTTGGCTAAAAAAAGTGTTCCTTTTCTGGTCACAAAGGATGTATATCTATCTATATTTAGATAATTCACATTAGACAAATGACAGCAAATCTTACTATGGGCTCACTTTGAACATCTGGTGTTATCTTGATTCTCAGGTGACATTTTAAGCCACTTGGCCATCTTAGGCAGGTCATACAATCCCAGACTTCATTCATTTCTTTGGTTCTTATTCTTCCTTCTTTCTCGAATTCTACATTTATGGCCACATTATCACTGCTTTTAAAAGAGCATTCTTCCGTACTCAGGCTATGTCTTATTAATTCTCTTAAATAGAAAGGAAAGAAAGCTGGCAGCCAGTGGACATATTTAGGCAGAATAAAGTACACTAAAGTGTCTCTAGGGAATTTGACTTAAACTTCATGAACCATAACTGTATTTCCATTTTGTAACATAAAGTATTAAAAATGACAACAGGAAAAAAAAATGACAACAGGCTTTTCCTCCTTGGAAACAAAGGAGTCTCTATGTATGCTCTTGTTTTGAAGACTAGCTTAACAAAACTGCCGTTTGGCCCAATTAGTGATCCTATGAATGGGCAATGTTAGTCTTCAAGTCTAGGGCCACTAAATGCAGTTTCCTTCCTCCTCCAAGTTTTTCTAGTATGAGGGACACTGCCATCTACTGTCTGCAACTCAAAAGCAACATTACATTCTATCAAAGAACAGAAGAACTATTATCTCATTTTTAATTATAAATTAAAACTCAGTTTTACAATGTTATTTTTATTCTAGAAATCAAGTAATTGCTATTCTCATTGGTATTAGACCAACTGTGCTCCAAACAATTCTGGGCACTGCCCTGCCCATTTAATAATGGGATTCATAATCTTTTAGCCACCAAGACATTTCATTCCTGGCAAAGAAGGAAAAAACAACCAGGCCTTCATTCTGGCCCAGTTACATGCTTATCACACATGCTGATGTTACCACTAGGCAAATACCATAATCACAAGCTCAACCTATGACTCCTGGGTCTGTAAAATCAATGAAAGCTCATAAGCAACCTTTCCTGCCCTCCAAATCCAAGAAAACCCTCAGGGTACTAATATCCCAGTGCTATCAGACCCTTACATCCAAACGAGTGCCTCCAACTAATATCAGGTGTAATTTCTAGAAAAAGAGAAAGGACAAGTGTAAATAATCAATTAAAATATCATGCCTTAGGGGCACCACGGAGAGATGGGGTGTCTATCCAGCCACCAAGCCACAGCTTTATCCCCAAACCAGAATTCCTGATGCTAAAAGGGGACACAGATGAGTTTAAAATGAACCATTTACTACTTTTTTTAAAAGAATTTTTTAAAAATATTTTATTTATTATTTATTTCAGAGAGAGTAGGTTGAGGGGAGCAGAAACAAGAGGAGGGGTAGAGGGAGAGGAAGAAGCAGACTTCCCACTGAGCAGGGAGCCCAACATGGGGCTTGATCCAAAGACCCTGGGATCATGACCTGAGCAGAAGGCAACACTTAACCAACTGAACCACCCAGGCACCCCTGCTAATTTTATTTTTGCTTTTATTCCATATCCTCTGAAAAGTAGATAGAACTTTTCCCCTTTGATTCTAAAAGTAATGCATCCTCACAACAAAAAGTCTGGGAAACAGAAAAGGGTTGCAAAATTGATATTACTCCTGAGGTGGCTGGGTGGCTCAGTTACTTGAGTGTTGACTCTTGGTTTGGGCTCATGTATGATCTGATCTAGGGTTCCTGGGATCAAGTCCTGTGTTAAGAC